TTCTTTCCCCCCCCCCCCCCCCGCTGTGGTTTTCAGGGTCCCCCAGCAATCATTTCAAGATAAAGAGCCGGGAGCAGAGTGGAGAACGTTTGTTCTCTGATCAGTGAGACAGGAACGCTGCACTCGCAGCGCCCCCTATCTCAGCTGTCACAGGCTGCATAGAATCAAGCACAATGCAGATGCTCGATGTTCTGTGTTGAAGGGCAAGTTTCATACGGAGAATCTGTCACCTCTAAACACTATCACACAGAGAGTTGTTAGCCTCTGTGTAATAGTAATAAAGTTAAGTTAAAAAAAATAATACAATTTAAAAGTGATAAAGTAAAAAATAATAGAATAAAAAGTGAAAAATAAACAAAAAAAAAAGATAAAACGCGAAATAATAAAATAAAAATTAAAAAGTAATAAAGAATAACATAAAACGATTAAGTGATAAGGTAAAAAAATTAAAACCAGCCCTGGCCCTGCTGGCATCTGCATGTGAATAAGCAGCGCGCTCTAAAACGCACACTAAGTAATTTCGGAAAATGGAATTACCTGCTCAAATCTGGCCCCCTCTCCCACATTCCCTCTTCCAGCGCTTTACTTACTTTCAGCGCACGGTCCTTCCCCTCCACCAGTACGGGTGTACTTTCTGTACCCCATACTGCCGTGCAGCACAGCCCTGCCCTATGGATTTTGAATTTCACTCGCCAATTGTGAGCACTCGCTGGTCAGAGTTGTCACCTGCGCTTCTTAGCACGGTTAAATAGGGTTTTGGCTAAAATAATTTTTTGTATCAGGACAAGTCATGTCATGAGGGACAAGTAGATTGGGCTCCCCCACTTTAGTCCTTGGACAAGTAGGGTTTTTTGTTTTACTTTCCACACCCCTGCCGCACTTGTAGTCCACTGACACTGCCTCCTCTCCCTGTTACTGCATGTCTGTATCGAGGTATGGACATGGACAGGAGGAAGAGTCTGCAGGATCCAGAGCATTGCAACTGTGAGCCACTGATTGCGGTTGCAGTTCTTTAGGCCTGGTTCACACCTGGGCGTTTTACAGCGCGTTCCTACGCTCTGTAAAACGCTCAACATTTGAAAACCAATGATTGCCTATGGGCATGGTTCTCACCTGGGCATTTTACAGCGCGTAGGAACGCGCTGCAAAACGCCCTGTGCTCAAAGAAGTACTGGAGCTTCTTTGGGGCATATTTGCCGCGTGTATCCATTGGGATACAGCCAGGTATCCCTCGGAAACACGCGTTTGTCGCGTGTTTTTATCGCGAATCGCGGTAAAACGCGCGGCACAAAACGTGCATATTCGAATGGCCTAGGTGTGAACCCAGCCTTACTGGGGGAAAAAAAAGTAATAAATGCACATTTTTCTTTTATGACCAAGTGTGCATTTATGTATTTGTTTTTAAAAAGGTGGACTGTGGCTTTAATAGTACACAATTGGAATATAAAAGCAAGCCCCCAAAAGTAAAAAAAAAAAAAGATATGAGAATAAAGTGTTTTGTAATTTCAAGAGTTAATGTATTGATAAGTGATTTATTATGGTTTCTTCACACATGGGGTGTAATAATAGGACCCAACCAAATATGTATTCATTCTAAGACTTCCTTTTCATGCTGAAATCGGTTTCCTTATGCTGGCTGCATTGGCTGTCTCATGTTTACACTATGCCACGCAGGACTTAATTTCATGTTTCTAGATCCCTGCACCTGAACTCTCCTCCTTATACGGACGGGTTCTGTTCTCTAGAAGGGTTCTGTTCTCCAATACAACTTCTTGCCTTCCGTTTAACAAAATATCAATTTGATTAGTTCTGTACGTCCCTGGAAGATCGGTAGACACAGATCTTTTAAGGGATTTTGACCAGTCAGTCATGGTTTGTCAAATTAAAGTCACAGCCAAGATGGTAAAGAGCATGGCCCGCCAGTGCAAACAGTTCTAAAGAGAGATACCAACTTCTTAGCAGCTTGGTCCTTTATAGACAGCTGCAGTCTCCTCTGGAATGGTAGCCTTTTTTGTTAAGATAGAACACTGCCGCATCCCCAAAATCCTCACCGGACAAGTACGGGGCTAATAAGTGCTTGGGGAGAGCAAAAAGCTTGTCAGGGTGTTCCCAACCTCTGTACAGAAAGAGTTGGAATGTTGGGTGCAGTGGGAAAGTCTTTGTGTTCTTGGGGGCACCGAAGGACCCAAGACTGGAAACAGCACTGGTACAAGCACAGGCTCATCCTCTGTATACAGAGTGGTGTGCAGTGCATGGATGAGAACCGAAACACATATTTTCACAAAGAGGTCTGCAGCCTATTTTTTAGTTTATAAATTTCCTTTATATTTTCTGGTTATTGAATTAAATGCTGGAGCACATATAAACAACAGCATTCCCGCAGACATTGATGCTTGCAAGGGTGAGCAATTAACACCAGCTTGGATATTGTATTTCCGTTCAGCTGCCAGTCACTTTCAGTTCCCCCCCACCAGGACAGAAAACACTTTCTGTACTTTGCACCCCCACCCCCCAGGTATATACGTCTCTGAAAATGATGTGGCGGAGGCTCTAGTCTCGTCCTGAACCCAAAGGAAAGCAAGTAAAATTGGATTTGCTGTAAATAGTAACTTGTTTCACCTTCTAAACAACAATTTGAATGCTTACAGATACCAACATCTCCTCTTCTGGCCTATTTTTTCCCTCCAGGTTTATGAACCTATCCCAAGGTGTTCTCTACACGGTCATGTCTTGCCACTGCTTTGTTGCACTCAGAATTTCTGCCGGTATTGAATAAAAAAAGATCACCCAGCAGTACAAATTCTTCAAACTAAGAAGTGCAATAACGAACCTAATGCAAGCAAAATGGACGCTCCACTGTTTATTGAGATGGGCAGTACTGGAGCTAGATATTGGCAGTGATATAACATCTGCCGCGATGAGCAGATTCTCTTTCTGAAGACACAAATACCAGCGCATAGTGAAAAGGATTTAATAATAAAAAAAAACCCACTGGATAACATGCAACCATAACTGCAGCCTGATAATTGGGCATTAAATTTATTTCTGAGTGCAGGTATAATGGATGCTGATTTCTAAAATCGATTTACTAAACTCTGGGCTGCGCCTCCCCCCTTTACCTAATCACTTGGTATAAATCAAAAAGAAACCCATCTAAAAAGGTACCTTTTGCTCACCTAAATTCACAGTCATGTGACATTGCAGTTCAGTGCCTTCTCTTTTCTTCCATGCACAGAAGGCAGGCTCCTTCTTCAGGTGTCCACACCACTGCCTGCATGACCTAGACCAGGGGTAGCCAAACTCTGGCCCTCCAGCTGCGGTGAAACTACAAATCCCATCTCTCTACGGGAGTCATGTCTGTGGTTGTGAAAATCTTGCAATGCCTCATGGGATTTGTAGTTCCACCACAGCTGGAGGGCTAGAGTTTGGCTACCCCTGACCTAGACTCTTTCTATTGGCTGTCCAGCAGCGCGTCCTCTCCGGAACCAGGAGTAAAGTGATGACATCACCAAAAGGGGCAGACAGGACCTAGCAGGGAAGGGCACATTTGCAGTGCTGGAAACTGTGCAAGTGAGGTACGGGGAGAGCAGAGTATAAAAAGCTCCACCAGGTAGGAAAAAAGAAATTGCTGAATGGGTAAAGCTGCCCATACACCTTACAATTATCTGCAGAATTTGCTGTGGTCAGATGGAAAAAGTGCAACAGATTGGCCCAGGTGGAGATTACTCCATCCACACAGTATAGCGTAGATGGAGGAATCTGTTGCACCTTTTCCATCTGACCACAGAAAATCTGCAGATAAATTGTAAGGTGTATGGGCAGCTTTAGAGAGGGGTTATGGTTTGCCCAAGGATGGGCTTTAAGTAGGCGTTAGAATCATTAAGGGTTTTTGCTTTAAGTAACATGAGTTTGAGTGCCAATATCACAATAAAAGACGGGCCATTTAGTAAAACAATTTAATAAATGTGTCCATAAATAAACATGATACACTTTAAATCCAACAACATTACTTACATTAAAAAAGTATACATCTGACTCCGTGGGTTTGGAGTGGGATAGACTTGTAATGCATTGGTGTAAATGCATTTACCTGTTCAATCTCCCGTATAATGATTACCCCATTCTTAAGTTTCCAGTGCAAGGGGCAACTCTTTTACTGAAGGAGATTTACAAGTGGTGATTGAAGAGACCCAAGTTCTTCTTTGTACCTGATCTGGCTCTAATTTTTTTTTAACAATCTGTCGCCAGGAAATGGTGGTAAACCTGTTTGTTTTTTCTGTCCTGTACGCAGTTAAACTGGCTACAAGAACAACACCTTACAACAATGGCACTTCTGAAGGCAAGTATGTTACTGTCGGGCCCTAAGCTTTGGACGGGTTGTCCAATGGCACATTAGTGGAGACTGCCTGGTCAGTTTGCCCTGCGTTACAAGAAATTTGTTCAACAGGCCACAAATCATCATGCGATGCTGGATCTTTGTGTGCAGAGAGGATGTGTGTCAAACAAATAAACATACATGTTTGCTCAGCATGCACATGTCTCATGTAAAAAAAAAAAAAAAAAAGAAAAAGCTAAATTTAAACATGCTTTAGAAGTGGTCACAATGTGGGCTCATTAATAAGGTATCACTGCCTTCAGTAACTGTACATGGAAAGTTTGGCAGTTCTCCTTTAACCTATATTATATATCCCCCAGAAAAAGAACACTGGTATCATACACTGCAAATAGAACTTTCAAATAGATGTGTAGAAAAATATTTCTGCATAATGTATGACAAAGTATTTTTTTTTCCCACCAGCTTTTGGAAGGCTTCCGTGTTCTGTATGGTCCACTTCTAAAGACACACAAAGCTCGGAAGTTGAACAGTTTAAGAGCCAATACAATAGACGTTACCAAGCGCATGCCCTTGGTTTTGTCAAAATGTTAAAAAAAAAAAAAAGTCCTTGAAAGGTCAAACCCTTATTCCAGTGTCAACCTTTAACAGCTGGTGTTTGCGGTGCTGGAGAAACCATTGGATGAAAAAGTGAAATTACAGAGGTGAACCTCAAACCTCTCTACTTTTAAGGCCAATATAGTCTTTCAGGTGCAGCTCGAAGGAAAGGAATCTATTTTTTCTATCACATTAGCTAATTTTTTGAAGAAGTTTTTCTTCCGCTTGTCCAAACTGTACAATTACTGACATTTCGGCAATGAACTGTTCGCAGCTTTCCTTGGTGACCTGCTTGCAGTACCTGAGGTCAATCAGACAGATGTTGCCACAGCGTTTAAAGTAAGTCAGGCACTGGTCTGTAACATTATTGCAGTCTAGAAACAAAGATAAAATTGGTCATTCAAAATAGAAATGGAGAAGAAAAATGCAAGTAAAGTAAAAATGACAGAGTACAAGTAGTATAAATGGCAATTATTAGAGCAAATCTGTGGCCATTTTTAGTGACGTATGTCCTCCAGACACTTTCTGATTTTTGAGTGCCCAATAAAACCAGATTCAATTGATCAAGCTTTATTCCTCTGATCACGGTGATAAGTGCAACAGTATCAGATCTACTTCTGGAATAGGAAAAATCCACAGAATTGTCACATGAAACAGCTCTCCCGTGGTTATTGGACGGCATTTGGCTTCAAAACTATTTTCTTCATTGGACAGTACAGGACACAGGCACCTTTATTCATACACCCTGGGTTATTTGCAGCTTCAGGTGACTGGACACTGGCAAACAGAATTGTGGGACAGTCCATATAACTCTCCAACTACGAGCAATCCTCAATTTTCTACTACTGTACTTAGGTGAGGAATGACCTCTAAGGCTGCCCATACACCTGCGATCATTGGACAACACTTTTCGTCTGATGATCGAACCGCCGTACGATTATCGCCCCATCCTGCCCCGATTATCGCAAGGTTGGATCAGCGGTAATTAGAAGTAAGCACTTGGACGAATTGCGGTAATCGACCGCACGTATTTTCGTCTGCGTATGTGCAGTGTAGATCGTACGAATTTTGACGTACGGAAACGCCACCAACCTTGCAAAAATCGTACGATTGACTGAAGTTTTCTAACCTGCTGGTTAGTCAAAAGTTGATTGCACAGTATTTGCGGTTGTACACGGCCCATCGACCTTACGAATATCGGAACGAAAACGCTACCGCATACGAAAATCAGCCGATATTCGTAAGGTGTATGGGCAGGTTAAGAGTGGGTTTCTGGCTAAACCTATTTCTACTACTTATCTGAAGACATCTCTCACCTCAATGAAGACATCTCTCACCTCAACCTAGTTGCACCTTTCGGATCATGGTCCCTTGGCAAGCCTTGCGTTTCATACCTGGACCCCGCCATGTGGTAGAAGTGAGGCCAGCCTGTAATGTTGCTTAGGCATTGCACTCTGCTTTAGTTATTTAGCTATTCACCCTTGGTACTACAGTAAATTTGGGGGTGGATCACCCCACCTAAGGATGTGGTTTCCTAGGTTACAGCAGCCATTTTCAGCACATACTCTTGTGGACAGCAAAGGACAAACACACACAGTCTCCTGGGCCCTGGGATTTAACAGCACAGTCCTTCAGTCAAAACACAGGTCAGCAGCAACTGCTCAGGGGATCCCCTCACCACAATGCTGAATGTCATACACAATGGAAATGGGACTCGTAGTCAGGACAGCACACAATAAGCGAGGGTCATGACAGAACTACGGTAAGATCCCTTAATCTTGGGACAGAGATGGTTCAGGTGGACTTGGTCACTGAGGTAATCCAGGCATCCCATCAACATTCTGGATCTAAGGGCGATTTGCATGTACCTCCAGAAGTGGACAGGCCAACAGGCAATCAACAAGGATTCAGTCGGACAACACCAGTGATGGCTTATATCAACAATCACGATGGCACCAGAAGTTGTGCAGTCCAAAAGGAAGCAAATTTAAACTTGGCCTGCCCTGAAAGGCATGTTCTAACCTTAACAGTGGTCCACAATGCCGAGACAATTGTAGGTCAGACTTTCTCAGTTTTCAGTACCTGGACGTAGGGGAAGGGTCTCTTCACCCCGAGGTGTTTCTTGCAATCTGTCACTGTTGGGAAAAGGCAAGACCTAGATCTTTTGGCACCCCACTTCAAAACAAGGTAGAAAGGTTCATTGCCAGGACCAGGGATCCTCAGGTCTTTGCAGCGGATGTACTAATGACTCCATGGGATAAGTTTTAGCTGGCCCTATCCTGTACAAAGCCTTTTCTAATTGTTCGTAGAGATAAAGTGGTTCTAAGACCTCAGGCCTCCTTTCTTCTCAAGGTGGTTTCTTCCTTCCACCCATAATCAGGACATTGTCCTGCCCCGAAATATCCAAAAGAGATTTCTCTGGATGTGGTGTGCAGGCAGTGAATGTATAACTTTCAGCCACTTCTTCTATCCGTCAATCAAATAACCTCTTGACCCTGCCTGAAGGCTCCCAGAGGGGCACCCTGCATTTCATTCCACCAAGTTTATACCTTAAAGGATATGGTTCCTCCCTTTCCATTTAAAGGTGCCCATACACCTTACAATTATCGCACGATTTTCGCCTGTGATTGCGTTTTTGTACGATAATCGCACAGTTGATGGGAAGTGCACAACCGCAATTACTGTACAACCGTACGAAATTCCATGGATTAGTGGCGTTTTCATACGAAAAAAATCACAACAAGAACACTGCTCATGTGCAAATGAAAATCCGTTCTGTCAATCGACGAAATTCGGCAAGGTGATATTGCTAACGAACGCTAATTGAAACCCGCAATGGTCTGTGCATGATGGGGCAGTTGTACGAAAATCGAACGGCGGTTCGATCGTACAAAAATAATCGTAAGGTGTATGGGCACCTTAAGGCTCGCTCAACTATCAGTGCCTCAGGTTTGTAAGACTGCCACCTGGGTCTTCGATTTCTATATTTGTGAAGTTTCACCAAGTGGATATTTAGACTTCAGCCATAAGGTGCTTCAGACTGCTCTTTGAGTTCAGGTTTGGTTCCCTTGTTGGTTCTTGTGTGCCTGTTGGCATTGTTTGCTGCATTGCCCACTCCTCAGTTGTATTGCTTGGGAGTGCCCCGGGCTCTATGATTAAAGTGATATTAAACCTTTGATTTTGTTTAAAGAGAAAGCCCCCACTTGCATGATTTTGCACTTCTTTTGGTTTAAATTGCTTTTTTTTAAATGGCCTTCAGTTGTTTGCCAAACTGCTTCCTTCTCCCCTCTTGTTGTAGGTGTCTCCTTCAGCTAGTCGGGTGCTGAGGAGACACCCGTGCGTGTGCGTGCCTGACTGTATGCATCCATAGACACACACACACAGCCTGTGGCAAGCCACGTCCCCCGCTCCTTCCACCACTCAGTCTGACTGAAAGCAGAAAGAGCCTATGGCTCCTCCGCCCTCAATACCCTCCCCCCACAACCAGGAAGTTCGGGGAACAGCGATAGCTTCCCCGACCCGGCGGAGTCAACCAGAGGTAGGTATTTGTGGACAGGGTGACATATAATGGTGCTGGGTGTTTTTTTAACTTAATGTAGAGAATGCATTAAGGTAAAAAGCGCCTAGCCCTGAGAACTACTTTAAGAGTCGTGTCCTGTGCTGTACGATTATGTCAATTGGATTTTTGACTTACCTGTAAAATTATTTTCTTGAAGTACAGTACAATACACAGTCCTGCAGGTTTTCCTCTCATTGCTAGCTACAAAACTGAGCATTGTTAGGAGTGGGAGGAGTCATATGGTCCCTCCCACAATTCTATTTCCCAGTGTCCAATCACCTGAATGTGGCTGCATGAAATCCAGGGTCTATTATTAACAGAGCCTGTGTCCTGTACTGTAGTCCAAGCAAAGGATTTTACATGCAAGTCAAAAATCCTATTTAAAAACAGCCAGCCCAGAAAAAAGCCGTATAACCTGGAATCCTGGGAAACGAACAATCGGAAGAATTCAGAGCCATTTCTCCATACTGGGGGAAAATCTCCATTACAATACAAGTCAAACCACCTGACAACTTATTTTGGGTACTCTATATGCCAGGGTCCTGGGTTTGCACATTTTAAGTTGCCCTAGCCGTATCTGTTTCTTTTTTTAGCGGAGAATAAAAATCCATATCCAAATGTGTCACTCTTTTTCTGTTCAGTCGAGATTCTTACCTGATAAATTAATTTCTGACAGAGAATCCCTGGTAGATGTACCCACTGCAGTGAGCAGGTTAATGGACTGATCAGTCACATGGTTACAGTAACTCAGGTCCAGTTTGGAAAGAAGAGGCATGTGTCGAATCATTAGGCGCAGCGAGGCATCTGTAATGTCCAGTCCTGCTAGACGAAGCTCTGTGATGTTCCTCAATTTGCTACGGTTGTCTATCTGACCTGAAATGAAGCAAATATAATTCAGCAAGTCACGCCTTAGTACTACATATAAAGTGACTATCAATACGAGCTGCAGCTTCCCCGCCCTACATTTAGCCCTGCTTGCCCGAAGCAGGGCTAAATGTAGAAGAAAAATACACGCCCAGCACTGCATGTCCCGGACGTTGGGCAATAGGAATTCCACACCCCTGCTGCCCCTCGACTCGGTGGGCTCAAATTTGTTGCCAGCGGTTTAGACATTAATGGCTGTGTGTTGAGGTATTTTGAGGGGACAGCAAATGTACACTGATATACAAGCTATACACTCACTACTTTACATTGTAGCAAAGTGTTATTTCTTCAGTGTCGTCACATGAAATGATATAATAAAATATTTACAAAAATGTGAGGGGTGTACTCACTTCTGTGAGATACTGTATATATATATCTGTAGATCTATAGATATATATATATATATATATATATATATATATATAATATATATATATATATATATACACACAGTATCTATAGATCTATATATAAACATACATATACACATACACACACTTATATACATATAAGTTAAAACAATTTCCCATCATAGATACTTCCTTATCCCACCACCCACGATGCAGGTCTTTGCACTCTAGACATATTGTACATTTAAATAGTTTTTTATGTTAAATATCTATTACTGATCAGTCTACACTATATCTAATAACAATATGTTAACAATTGTAACCCCTTCATGACTGAGCTTGTTTTTTGTTTCTGTTCGTAAATGACTGACACACTTTTGACTTTTTGCTGTGTGATTCTTCCACGTCAGTAATATACTTTCTTACAAAGTGCACCCACACATATTATATATTGTTTTTTAGAGGACAGATAGGGCTATAGATTTATATCACATATGTGCCCAGTGCCTCACTTAGGACGAATAAAATATTTAAAAAATTAGGAAAAAATGTAAAGAAAACTATTTTTGCAAGTTTTGATCATTATTATTTTTTAGAAAAATTGCACAGCTAAAAGAATGCATCAAAATGAATGAATTTATTTCTCCTTTATTTGGAAACACCTCACATGCCTTGGATTTCAGAAATGTTCCGGTACTTTTAAGCCAAAAACTAAAAGCTAACATTTTACTTTATTTCTCTAAAAGCTAATACAATGTCAGTGTCACTAAGTGTCACACTTCGTGACAGCGACATACTTTAAAAATCGCCGTCATGAGGTGATTAAATTAATAAACAATAACCCCTTAGGGTGTAAAAGGTTCATTTTTATAATCATTTTAAAATCATTTCTTTTTTATTTCAATTACATCAAGCCGTCATTTTGAATGGATCTCACTATGACTGTTTGATAATGTAATAATGTTTGGTTATTATTATGCTGCTTCAAACTTAGGAACAGCCAATAAAAACCTTAGTGACTGATCATAAAATGCTGATCCTGCAGCATGTTAGAATCAGATCTCACTAAGGGCTTGTTCACACCGAATGCGGTGCGTTCCAGAGTGGTAGCTGCTGGAACGCACCACAATCCCTCACAAAACTTCCCCCTGCGCTCTGGGGCAGGAGGGGGCGTGGCGGTGCATTGCATTCAATGGCAAAGCTTCCACGCGCCCTCCTGCCCCAGAGCGCAGGGGGAAGTTTTTATAGGGATTGCGGTGCCTCCCAGCAGCTACCACTCTTTAACGCACCGCATTCGGTGTGAACAAGCCCTAAAGATGTCTGATCGTTCCCAGAACAGTCCGATACAATGTTTCAACAAAGAAACATTTGGCTTTTGCTGAAACTTGTAGCAAAAAGCTGATAACAGCAGGATTTCCTAATTACTGTTTCCTAAACAGTAATAGTGAGAGCTGTATATACGGCACAGCTATTACTGTGAGATACACGATCGCGTGATACAAGCAATCAGGTATCTGTCAAGGCGTATTCTTTCATTAATGGATGCCTCACTACTGAGGCATCCATTAATGAACGATAACAGTTGATCTCAGCGATTGCCGGCTTTTGACAGCTACAAATAGCTGATTACGTCATTTGGGCAATTCATGGCGGGGAAGTACAGTGTACGTTTCCCATCACGAAGGGGTTAAACCCGCTCCAAAATAATATAAATAAAAGAAGAATGTTAAATTGCACTAAGGCACAAATGAGATCCCACAAACTCAGGAAGCCATGTGCTCCAGTAACTTATTCTAGCCAACTTGAGTCACCAGTGAACAGAATGACAGAAGATCTTACTGGCTACTAACCATGAATGACTTCATAATGATATCTACACAGTTGCCTAAACATGGAAATCCATGTCCTTTAAAATGAAGTAGTAGAACCATACCTGGTCTGTTATCTGTTGGAGGAGACAAAAGATCCCTCATCTGTGCATCTTTTAGCCCTTCTACCCACTGGACATTGAGCAATCTCAGCAACGGACAGCTGGAACTACAAAGTGCAGATACGGCAATCCAGGAACAGCCTGATAAATTCAGATCCCTTAGAGCTGAGGAGATTAGGAAAAATACAAATCAGAAAATCGTTGTTCATTGTCAGGTTTCAACAATTAAAGCGTACCAAACATTACAAAGGCTACACATCATCACATAATGCATTGTCTGCTCATGCAAAGATATTTTAAAAGAACTCTGACCTAAGCAAATAGGCTCCCCGTACTTTCAAATAGCAGATCAGTTTATATCTCTGTATGTAACCAATACAAAATGTTTTTTTCTCAGTTTCTCAAGCTGGGACGGCTACCAATATGCAAATCAACTGAATGTCTAAACTAGGCATGCATCGATACCGGTTTTTCGGTACTCGGTATCGGCGAGTATACCAGTGCTGTGTGCCCCGATGATCAGGAAGTCGGGCGGCAGATCATGACCCGTGGCCGGCTTCCTGATTGCCTGGGAAGCCGGTGCTCTATCAAAAGAACACCGGCTTCACTTTCCTAGCTTCCTGACCAATCAGGAAGCAGGGTGGGTGGCGGGTCATAAGGTGCCGTCCGGCTTCCTAATTGGCTAGGAAGCCGGCTCCACTTGTTGCTAGGCAGCCTCGCGGCATGTTATAACCCGCCTCCTGATTGGCTAGGAAGCCGGCTTCACTTGTTCACAGGCAGTCTGGCTTCCTGTTCAATCAGGAAGCCGGGTCATTACGAACTGCCCGGCTTCCTTATTGGTTAGGAAGCCTGGCTTCCTAGACAATCAGGAAGTCGGGAGGAGGGTCATAACCCACCGCCCGGCTTCCTGATTGGAAAAGAAGAACTCACCGCCCGGCTCCATTCTCCCTCGGCACTGTCGGTCAAAGGGAGATCTCCCCATGACCGGAAGTTCCGGTATCGGAGACAAGTATCGGAGAATTTGGGCGAGTACGAGTACTCGCCCAAGTACTCGGTATCGGTGCATCCCTAGTCTAAACCACAGGCATGAGTCAATGGGCCCATGCAGTGTGCTTTTAGGTGCATTCCACTTGCATTTGTGATTATTTTGAAACATTTCTGAGATTATTCAGTCCACTGACAGTGAATTAGACCTGCAGCTTGCCTTCTTCTGACCTGCAAACTCCTAAGCTGCATCAACCTGATTCACATTGCTTTTGTGTTCCCACTGACATGAACGGAGAGAAAACCAGTTCAGCCATGAATGAAAGCACTAAAAACCACTGGGAGTCAGCAGGAGCCATGTTGTTTGTGCCTACGCCCACCACTAACCACCATGACACAAAGAAGAGAATGAACAGCTTTTTTTCTTTTTCTTTATGTATCTATAATTGATAAAAACTGTTTTTTTAAACAAGTGCATTCTAATTCTGGAATTGCAGATATTTGAATGTTATAGCCAGTTATGATACAAAGAGAGTAAGGCCTGGTTCACACCTTTCCGTTTTGTAGCGCGTTCAACGCTCTACAAAACGTACAAACTTGAAAATCCCATTGTTTTCTATGGGTATGGTTCACACCTTTCCGTATTTCAGCCCGTCTGAACTCGCTACAAAACGGCCTACGCCCAAAGAAGTACATGTACTTCTTTGGGGCGTTTTGGTCTCGCGTTTCCATTGGGATACAGCCAAGTAGCCCTCGGAAACGCGTGTTTGTCGCATGTTTTTTTTACTGCGAATTGCGGTGAAAACGCCTAGGTGTGAACCCAGCCTAAGAGTTCTTTAAATGTAACAGTTTCTTGTGTCTGCTAAAGGCAATGAATTCTCTGTACTTCATTTGTCAGTTTGCTGCAGCAATTCTAAGGGAGGGTCTCAGTCCATTGGATTTCCATTTGTATTACGGGAAATGCAAGGCGTTGCAGCAGGTGTGAAATACCAAAATGAATGGGAACGGAGGCAGAACTATGGTAGGAAGATGTCATTGCTATTGTCACTAAGCGATATAAAAAAACAGATGGCAACTTCCCATGTTAACTCAGGGCGTTACATTCCATCCATAACAGAAATATCACTTATCAGCCTACTGATCACTTAGCATGTTCTGGCTCATTCTTGTTCAACTTTACTCCTATGAGAACCTTCAAAGTCGCCAGACCATTCATTTTAACAACAATCTGCAAGTATAAAGTCGTGTGAAATAGAAAATACTTATAACCATAGAATTCAAAGAGGGTGTACTTTCTTTTTCACACGGCTGTATGTGCATTTACTGTATTTTATACATATTGTTTACCTGTCAAAGCCCTGAGACTGCTGATGGGTACTGCCATCTTGGGCATATCAGCAGATTCAGCAGACGTATAGCTGCCACGTAAGGGACAATATATAGTTGTATATTGTTCCCCCTTCACTCTTCTTCCAGCTTCTACATAAAAGGTTATGTAGGGAGATGAGGGGAGGGGCGGGGAGCTGGGCCAGTACAGAGATTAATTAGACACTTCAACATGAGGAGATGGCTATGATGTAAAAGGAAGGAGGAAGCTGTGCTCTAGAATGAGGCACTTTCTGAACTGTCAATGCCCTCGCAAGTTTAGAGGCACACACGTCATTAAAACATTTGTGGAATGAAAAATGCTGCATTTAATCTGCATATTTTTAAGTAGGTGACAAGATCTCTTTAGGTATGTAATATGGTGGCTCTGGGAACCCATACCATATAATATGGTGTTTGTGGATACATACTGTAATGCGTTAGTCAAAAGCCTTGGTCTACAGTGTATATCCAAAGGCAAGTTCTGCAGACAAGTGTTTGACAATCGGTTTGGCTGAAAATTTGAATGGTAAAGGGTTAAAATTATTTGCCAGGTTGCCACAGGGACAGGAATTAAGGTTCATTTCCAAAGACACCAAGTTTCTAGGCTTACACCACTCTATTACCAAAAATAAGTGTTGGAGAGGTTTCCCCTTTACTTGGTGGTGACAACATTGGCTGGGGGATGGGGAAATGAGGGGAAATCTCTCTAAAGGGCGCAAACAGCAATAAAAACCGTCCCCCATTCTGTTACACTACATTTCCAGCACGTGTCTTATGTCCGATGATAAATATTTTGGGTGGTCAGACACAGGGCCGCGTAGTACCTGGAAGCCGGTTCATGAGCCAGCTTAGTTGTTTCTTTGATATATTTGTCCAGCTTAAATCTAAGGACACAGGCTGTCTCCTGATGATCCCACTGAGCATAAGAGGAGTTATGGATTTGCAGCGATTTAAATCGATTAGCGTCCACAATCTTTTATCACAGCACCTGCAAGAGACAAAATACATTGACCATTGTTTATGGTTTCCTGATTAGTTCACTATTTATATTGATAATCATGGGTATGTTACAGAGGGAACACTGATACATCTGAGCAGAAAGACCACATTAATGTGACCACAACAAGGGTCTGTCCAGTCATTTAGGAGAACTGCATACATTCCGGGTTCTTTGGTCTCATGGCCTCTGTGTTTCATAGATGACAGTTAAAAACAACCAACACAACATTGTGCTAGTACCACTGTTCTACGTCAACTTTGCTAGGTAGAGGAGATGATTATTAGAGGTTCATTATGCCGCCCTAACCACAAGACCCTATGGGGGGAATTTATCAAAACCGGAGCAGAGAAAATCTGGAGCAGCTGTGCATGACAACCAATCAGCATCCACCTTTCCTTTTCAAAGCCTAGCTGAACCAACTGAAGAGAGAAGCTGGTTGGTTGCCCTGGACAACTGCTCTAGACTTTGCCTGCTCCAGTTTTGATAAATTCCCCCCATTGTCTTTCGGTTAGGGTGAGTATCCCACGGAGCATGAACATGGTAATTGGAGTACTGACGAAGTGAATGTGTCTGCCTGCGGAAGAATTGGACTGCTATGCTCTGTGTGATTGCAGCAAAATATATATGTACACATACACACACATTATATATATATATATATATATATATATATAATATTTTAACACTTCAAATAATAAGCTCCATATTGAATATCTCCGCTGGAACACCCGGTCTGGTGCAGTATAACAAATCACTGAGGATCCTAAGAATAAAAGGTGCCCATACACCATACAACCATTGCACGACTTTCGTTGTGCGATGGTTATAAAGTCATTAAAATTTCGTACGACCTGCCCATCTTGGACAGGCAGATCGTACTTGCGATCATCGAAAGTCCGCCCGCTGAGGGGAGGGCTTGCAGATGATTGCAATGGTGAGGGGCAGTGTGCGCTTGCGCAGCTCGGGTCATGCGGCTTTCGGCGGGTTTTCTAGCCTGCTCGTTATAGGAAAATCGTACGACCGTACAGTAAATGCGGTCGCATGCTGCCCATACACCTTACGATTATCGTACGATGGCAGGATCACCTACAACTATTGTGCGATAATCGTCAGGTGTATGGGCAGCTTAACTCTGATCATTGTCTACAATCTTGTAAAAAAAAGGCAGGCTTCCACTTCTGACCAATGCTAGTTCCCTGGCTGTCACAATGACCAAATGGGTAACACCTTTCACATGAGTTTAATTAGCACAGCCATATTTACCTAATATATATACCATAATCTGAGCTGTGGGTGGCCCTGCAAGCACCATCAGGCTATACAAAAGTCAAATACAAAATTGACTGAGCTTGGTGGAAGGTTATCACCGTATCAGATGCAGTCACTGTTCATGTATTCAGTCACCGGTGCTGTGGCTGGCTGAATACAATAGTCGGCATTGCAGATGCTTCATACAAGCTGTTTAAAATGAATGGGGGAATACACTGATTGCTATTGTTCAGGCAGTGGGCAGCATAGGTCTGAATTGACTTACTGTATTGGTTCTCAGGAAGAAGCTGAATACTTTGAAATGCATCGTTAAAAATACTGCATTGCTGTGTTAATACATGTGCAATAAATTAGCTTAACTGGACTATCTCAACTCCACCATCAGCTAACTTCTTCCAGCTATTTGATCTAGAGAGGTTAAAAACTAAAAAGAAAGGGATTTATTTTTTCTGTGCCTGTCACACAAATCCAGCAGCATCTAATGAGGAGCAGATTTCTATCTTTTGTTTTATCTGGACCCCTTCAGTTAAATATTAAAAGGAAACCAAGTGATCGGATTACATATCATTTAACATTAACTCTGAGGCTTTCTTTGAAATAATACCTGGTGATGATGTGCTTGTTCAGGCACTTCCTATTATAGGGTGACAACAACTGTACTCCCCTGTTGTCACCCTGTCACACGGCTCTCCAATGGAGACAAGTGGCCATTTCAACACACATTGCACAGGCATGGTCAACTGTTGACACCATCGGGATACTCGTCCTGAGAAACGCCATGTAGACATCACTGAAGGGTATGCATGTAAATAGGAAGTGTTTGCAAATAGGCTGCAGGAGATCAACAGCAATGAGTTGCGACAAAAGAAGAAAATGTGCAAATTAATGCAACTGTTTACAGAGGTGCGGAAAGAAAAAATAAATAAAAACTACTTGTTTAAGAACTAAAGCGGAGGCCCAATCTACTTGTCCTTCATGACAATCTTCTTGTTGTGATACAAAAAACAAAACCGTATTTAACCTGGTTAAGAAGCGCTTCTCATTGGTCAGGGCAGCCACCTGAACGCACTAACCAATGAGTGATCGCAATTTGCGAGTGAAATTCAAAACCCATAGCGCAGGGCTATGCTGGACAGCAGTATGGGGTACAGATAGTACCGGCAGAGGGGAAGGGCGTTTGCTGAAAGGTAAGTATAGGGGGGGTCGGGGTAGGCTGGCCACATTAAAGCGTATAATTCCATTTTCCCAAAGTGGACAAGCAGACTGCTAAAAATAATCTGGGCGGGCACCCATATCAGTTGTACAGAATGAGCGCTGGCTCCCCTTCTCTACATTTAGCCCTGCTTGCCGGCAGCAATGTGTTGGGCGTTGGACGGTAGGAATCCTGCACCTCTGTGTTTAAGATACACAGTGCTTTACAAACGTAGTATCACTCAGTTCAGGTACCACTACGCCTCATGCTCTTTCTTACTACATGGTTTGATGTTCCTTAGACAGGTTTTTATAAAGTAGATGAGCAAGGTCTGTGGAGTGATATTCTCTGCTTGCTTTACTCCACTGTCACTGCCTACAGCCATCTTGCCTCTTATCTATTAGATTGGTTGTTTCATCATTGTTGTGTGCCCCTCCCTAATTCCCCTTATTCCGCTGATAGCAGAAATCGTCAAAACATTCTCCATATCCTGTTCTTTTTAAACGGATACATTTTACAAAAATACAGTTCCTTTTTACAGTGGTATAAAAGAATGCTGGTGCATTCAAGGACCTGTATATTATCCATCATCCGCTCTGTTCTGTCACAATGTCTGCAAATAAGAAATACTTACTGCGTTTACTTCATTTCTGCTTCAATTCCTTGGTTATGTATGCTCTGCCCAAGGCATGCAATATACAGAAGTTTTACATTTCCATTATCAAAAAGCCAGGTATATTTTTAGAGTCATGCCTAACAATAGCCATGCAGAATGTGAGAGAATCAGCCTTTTAAAAGCTGATATGCCTGCATTTACCCAAGACTGCACATACTGCTGCCGTCAGCTTCTTTTAAGTACACCTTGCACAATGTAGCATCATGAATTACTGTTCAGTTTATGTGCGGGAGATAAAAGAGCCGTAAATATGGATTTAATGTATATGTATAAAGCTGAATTTCAGGCAATCCGCTAAATATGGGTGAAAATTTGCTGTCTTGGACAGCTCCTGGCGCCACTGGGGACACTTCTGGGTGTGTTGGATAGTATGTCCTTGGCTGGCACTGGGGTTTTTCCAACCACCTGTCCGTAGCAGAGGACACACTATTCAACACACCCAGAAGAGTTGGATAGCAGGGCTGCCCAGAGCTGTTCAAGACTGAGAAGTTTTCCCTTTTTGCCCACCTGGAAAGGTAAGTATGCAGCCTGTTACATTACAGTGTGTGCGGGTGGAAATTTATTTGCCAAAAGGGTCAGTGTAAAGGAATTGTTGATTGGACAGTAAAAGAGCAGTAGCAAATTGATAAGGTCCCTCATCATCAGTCCCTCTCTATCAGCAGAATCCTATCAACATTTGCATGCAGCACACCCGATTGGCTCCCTTCCTCTACCAGTTTGAGTGCTGCTGTTTAGGGGATTGCAAGAGGCTGATACCAAGTCAAATATAGGTACATACACTACCTGCAATTAACAAAATACATTTAATGAATGAATACATAGTCACATTCATTTGTGTCTTTTATATGTGCCTCAGTTTTAGATGTATTTTATGTATGTTCACTTTAGTGAGGCACTAAAAATATCAGAACTGTATCTAAATTATGACATATACGACAGTCATTGAATGTTCAGCACACAGCCACTTACCATCTATTCCACGTTTTGCAGACTCTCATACATATGCACAGATCTTTGTGGCTGAGGTAGCTAAAGATGGCCATCCAGACCTCTCTCTGCATCACATGGGTGGCACCATTCTCCAAAGGTAGGGAATCTGGAGGAGGGCTGATTGGAGGAGGCCTTATCACGTGGCGTTCCATCTGCACACATTTGGGAGGCGACAAAGAAGGAGGAGGGCGATTGGTGACCCTTGGCGTTGTCCTTGGGCTTGGAAGAGACTGATGCTTAAACTCCTTTGGAGTCCCATTCAGTTCTTTGCTAAACCGATGCATGCGCTCCCCATTGGTGTTCATACATTTTTTGGGCTCCTCGTCCTCGCTCTCCGGCTCAGATTTAATAGGATGGTGGTTCTCATTCGCCAGGCTATTTTCTGTTTTCTGGATCTCTTGGTTTAGCTCCTTGCTTAATTCTTTGCTTAGTTCTTTATTAGAAACTTTTCTCTTCCTTCGGTTTTTCTTCTTCTCCTTTGAATCTGGACCCTGTGTGCTGGGACCAGCAGTGGGTGAACTGGACCTGGACTGATCACTTTCCTTAGATTTCGGCACAGATTCTCCCATATCGTCATCTGGCTCCTGTTTAATGCGCCTCAATGTTTTGGCCATGAGTGCGCGTTCTTCAGGCGTCTTCCAGGTTCTCTTCTGAAACCACAGGAGGTACAAGAAGAATTTCATTGTAAGGATAGTTTTTCATATACACCAAAAACAAACACTGAATGGCATGATTCTAAGCATTTCACACAGATAATGTTTACGGTATTAGCAATAATACCCAACAACTGAAAGCTGTACTAAATCCTGAAACAGCCTTACCAAGAAAATCCTTGGATCTCAGGAAACAAGAAGTGTTCTCAATCAATCTCTAGCATTTACATTGGTCTGTAGACTTCAGTCCAATGGCTAATGGAAAAATAACAGGATAAATGTCCCACTGATGTTTGAAAGAACCTCCCTTTGCCTTCATCTTACTACACAGAGAGCAAGAAATCATATGGTTGGGGGCATATGTCTCGAAAATCCCTAGAAGTAAAGTTAATAAGTATAGCCGCCCAGTGAAAAAAAAAAAGTCTGCTTCCTTTAATGCATTATTATACAGGATTTATAGTATGCACAGCGCTTTACAACATAAGAGGAGACAGTACAGTTACAATACGATTGAATGCAAAACGATAAAGATGGCCCTGGTTAATGGGAGCTTACAATCTAAGTGAAGGGACAAGTGATAAAAAGGGATTGTTAAGGGTGAGCTGATGGAGAAAGTACAAGTACAGTTGTTAGGTAGAGGAGGGACAGGATTCCCTCAAGAGATGAGTTTTCAAGGGTCGCCTAAAAGTAGGCACAGTAGGAGATGGCTGGACAGATTTGAGAGTTCCAGAGGCTCTGAAAGAGTCCTGGAGGTGAGTATGGGAGGTGATGAGGGTCCAGAAAGGCCTTTAGGAGGAGCGGAGAGCAAGGCTTGAATGATATTAACGTATTCCTGTGCTGCTGCTGACCTTTCTGTCTGAAAATACAAAATGCCTAGCTGTCATGCTGACCATCAATACTTTCTAAGCCACCCGACCCACAGCAGGTGTACAGATCAAGATTCCTGATTTCACAATGACAGCATGTTGGGTCCTGTCTGTCAGCCCCTCAGAAAGTACTAAAGCCAAAAACAGCTTAAAAATATGTAAAGGATTTTAACAAATCAAACGAAAGAATGGGCACGCCTAAGGTTGGGCACACACCTTACAACCATCGCAAGACTTTTGTCTTGTGATGGTTGTAAGGTACTTAAAAAACGTACGATCTGCCTATCTTGCAAGGGCAGATCGTACTTGGGATGATCGCAAGCCACGCCCCCTGAGGGGCGGGCTTCCGATGACCGCAATGCTTGCGCACACTGGCCCGTCCGGCTTTTATCTCACGAACATGCTACACACCTGCCGAACATCGTACGATGCTCTGCGGGTTTTGAAACATGTTCGTAAGTTTAAAGGCGTGCGACCTTACAGTAGGAGAGGTCGCACGGCTTCCACACACCTTACGATAATCGTACGATCGCGGGATTTCCCGCGATTATCGTAAGGTGTGTGGGGACCTTAATACATACTGAGGTAGGTTTTCCCGTAAGGTCTTTAACAGCATCAGTAAAGAATAGTCTACATGCAGCTAAAATGCTCCTTCTTGTGGTCACATGTCTTGATCAAGGTTCAGAAACACATGCAATGCTCAGGTGAACATCCCTGTTCCCCAGTACCCCCAGAACATGCCAACATTTCAAAACTTAATTCTTTCACTACCGATGTGCCTACACTTCTTTTTAAACACCCCACCACTTTGAAAAAGTTAGTTACTTTCAAAGCAATACATTTCTCTTCGGTTATAGAGAATATTCAAAAATCCTGTCCTGGTGTAACTGAACCAGGCATGTGGGTGTTATTTACTATATATTAGATTTCTCATAAAAGATTATTTTAAGAAGACTGCAGAATACCAAATCCAAAATCTTTTATGACTTGTATTTTATTAATGTGAAATTCCACCTTTTGAAAAAAAATTATAAATGCACACTGTGTGCTTTTAGTATTATTTTGCCTAGAAGCCAGTAAAGCAGCTGCAATGCTCCTACTGTCTTCTTTCCATCCATGTTTGTACTGAGGTATGGACACTCCGTAAGAACATGGATGGGAAGAAGTGTCAACGGACTGCAAGTGTGGTGACGTCACTGCTCTTGCATTCCTTTGAGAACTACATGTCCCTCTGCCACAGTAGATGATAGGACTTGTATTTTCTCCATTCAGTCCCCATTCACACCACGATGTTGCACCAACGTACGTCGCAGCGACACGTGTTCGGGGTGTTTGTTACCCGCGTTTGGCGTACGTCTTCATTAATTTCAATGGATGCCTGAATGGGTCTATATGCAGGAAAGTAGTGCACGTAGTATATGTGACACGCATTCCACATTTTTTCCCACGCGTTCATAAAACGGCAGGTTTGCCCAGCTGAGTTTGGAGTGGCATTAACTAGTAACGTCACCGCAAGTGTGTTTGGCATTTTCCCGACGTGTTGTTACAGTGTGCGGAGTTTGGCCCGCGTTCATGGAATGCGATGGTGTAAACAGGGCCTCACAGATCCTGTCAAAGGATCTGTGAATGGATGAAGTGACTGTGTAGACAGAACCACGTACAGCTGCGCCGAATTGAAAAAAGAAAAAAAGTAAACAAGCCTGCGTGTAGAAGAACCCTAAGATCGTGATTGGGTTTGGAATCTGACCACGTTTCATGGTAAATTCAGCTTTTAATAACCAGTATTACCTGCTATAAATCCAGCTGTACTATTTAAAAAGGGAATATATAAAAAGCCTAGTCACCAAAATTTGGCCTCCAAAAATGTTCCAATGCCAGCAGACTGTCCTAATATTCATACTTAATATCATGCCAATTAAAGACAACCTCAAATGTCTCTACGGGGGCTTTCATTAAGGCAGAAGACCATCTGGGATTTAAGAACTTCGAAGTACAGAATTAGAGAACTCAAGCCGGATATAGTAATGCAGAGAATCATTATCCATCTGGATGTTGTATGTACATATCTCCAGGCACTCTGTGCAGAAATCTTATTACTATATACACATTGCTGCAAAAACCAAACAACCATATTGCAGATGTCCTGAAGAGACACCAAACCAGAATGAATATTCAGTGATAGTACTTCTGGAGAAGAGCATATGAAGGACATGTGGTTATACATTTACAACATCCATAAAGCACCAGGTACTGTTTGCTGAACCCTTTATAAGTAAGACTGCACAATCCAATAATCTTATTGTGACAGGTAATGTTTAATGTGGTCTAGCTAGAAGAAAAAAAAGATATTGTCTATAGCAACCAGATTACAGCACTACATGTAATAATAACCTACGAAAAGGTTATTAAATTGGTACTAAACCCATCTATCTGTTTTGGAGGCTGCCATCTTAGCTTACGTCTGCAGTTGCCATGGTGCTGCCATGTCACAAGCTACGACACCTGCCATATGAGGGCTTGAAAGCTGGCATGACATAAGCACACTGGCAACAGTGACAGTTATCACTAGAGGCATGCCTTCAGGCCATGTCACCCTGCGGCGTTCCGTAAATGTGCATCACGTTCGCACGCGTTTTTGCTGCTGTTGTCGCGCATCAGCCCAGTGACTTCAATGGGCTGCCCACACTCGACAAAGGCAGCAAAGTAGCTCACGCAGTAGATTCTGCTGCAGGCATACTGCATTTTTTCAACACGACTGTTTAATGCACAGGAAAGAAAGAAATGCACATTTTCCTGACCGCCAATAACAAGTAATGGCACAGCAGGCGTGATGCACATTTTTTATACGTTGTGCGAATGCGTATCAATGCGTACGTTTGGCACACATTCATGCAACACGAAGGTGTAAACGGGGGCTAAATGTAGCATATACTGCAAATGAACCAGTAGGCAGAATGTACATAAATACTGCTGACTAAAGTGGAACCAAACCCTCAAATTCTAACAGCCCAAGATGGTGCCATAGCCCAAATAGAGGCGAAGATGGCATCTTCCTTGGCTGTACGGAATAGTGTTAGTTTCACTTAAAAAAAAGGGGTGGGTGTATTTATAAAGGACCAATTTTGACATATTGCACCAGCTAATTTTTATTTAGCATTATAAAACATGAGAAAGGAATGTTGTTCATGATTTTTTTAATCAATGCAGACCCCGTACCCCACCTGTGGGCTTTGACTATATTGTGCTGCCACGTATATGTGTCTACAGAAGGAGTTGCTGTTCTGTGCTGGGAGCGCACTCAATCACAAGCCCCTTATAGCAACTGAAATCTAAACTAGCCATTGAAATGTATTGGAAAATGGGCATTTCATGTAAGATGTGCACTGCAAATGCACTAATAAACCCAGAGCAGGGGAAGCCATAGACAAGACATCAAGTCCCAGGCTATGAAAAGCAAACAGCACTGAAATGTAAACAAATGAATATGGAAGCAATCAGTAGCGCGGGTATTAGAGAATCAGTGTACACAGCAATCTACCAACAGAATCATGGAGAACTAGTTATTCTACTTGGACTGAAGACATTTTCAGCATTATAAATCGGAGCTCTGAACAGACACAACATAACTAAACCTTTTACAGTTTCTGTGATTTATAAAGCTGCACTGTCACTGTCGGACATGGTCCTTCTAATGATGAACGTTTAGGTGATGTGAAAACATCATGTTTAGTGCGTACTCTGTTACTGTGTGCCTTCATGCTGTTTGACTGTTACTATGGCAACACAGCAAGAATAGGTTATGGCTGCGGTAGTTGTGACTGGCTACAACTGTCTTCCTCCTCTCTACAGCAGACATATCTGAATGTTTGAAGTGTAATGACATGGAGCGAAGCTTAAAGCTGATCTCCAGGCACAAACAATTTTAAGTAAATAGATTCCTTAATATCAACAAAGCATATAAATCCACTTTGTGTGCACCAAATGCCTTTGCAAACCTAGATAAAGTAGTGATGACATCATCACTGTGCTGCACATAGCTTGTGCAGAGAGCAGAGCCTGCAGGTGGCCTGCAGAGGAGGAGGGCGGATACAAGACCAGTCACGCTGAACAAGGACAGAGAGCAACAGTGACTGGTCTTTATTACAGGAAGGTAACATATTGTGCTGGATTACTGCACAAATCTGGAAGAAGTACAAAGGACACCAAGAGTCAAGCAAGAATACACATGCTTCTTGCATTAACACAACATTTGCTTATCCTGGAGTGCAGCTTAAAAGCAAACTATTCACAAGCAGGCCAATGCAAGAATCTAAATATTCTGTCCTAAAAAATTATAATTGCACGGACTTATGAAGGATTTATAGATGCTTGGACTTTTACCTTTTCTTACTCTGACTGACTCCTACACTTTAGGCCTCCTTCACACAGCTAAGTGTCGGCCCGTACAGATCCGTGCACCATTCACGGCTGTATCGGGCCATTCCTGGGAAGCACAGGTGCTGCGTGTGTATGTATACAGCAGCCCGTTCTTCCCTATGGGAGTACGCGATCATACGCCACCGCACGCTTAGTGTACATTGGGGGGTGAGAGGCAATCTGAGCGTCAGACAGTCGCCACGTCAAGTGCCTGACTTGATAAAATGCGTAAAAAAGTGGAACTAGACCCACCAATTTAATGTCTCCCAAAACAGTTACTTTTAAGAAATGCCATCTGTCAAGGTTCAGTGTGCTTATTTCAGCTCTCAACCAAACTTTCAAGCCTTCATATGGTGCCACAGCTGATCACATGTGCAGCACCATGGCAACTGCAATCCAAATAGAGGCGAAGATGGCACCTTCCTTGGCTGTTAGGCCCCGTTCACACTGAGCGATTTATCGCGCGATTTTTGCAGCGATATCGCTCATATTTCCGCGCGATATCACTCTATGTAGCTTCTCCAATACATTTCAATGGAGTTGTTCACATCTCGTCGCTCAATATCACTCTATATCGCTTGTAGCTCGTCGCTCCTACATGACCCTTTTTTAGAGCCATTTTAAGCGATATTGCTCCTGATTGCATACAGCCCAATAGGAAAAAGTCGCGACACGTCGCTCAAAGTCGCAACATTTTCATGTCGCTCAGTGTGAATGGGGCCTAAGAGATAGGAGATTATAGGGCCTGCTTACACCAGTGTAATGGTCAGACAAAGCTATTTGTGCTTTAGATTGTTGTCATCCAGACTAGATTTAAATACCCATGTAAATGGCCTATGTACTACAAAGCCTGGGATTTCCTAGCATGCATCACAGGCTCCCAATTTTCTCCTGGAATGTTCACATGCAGTTCTGTGGATGACATTTCAAGTTCTGGGCAGTGGGAAGTATTTTATTTTTGGGGTAAGCAATGATGTATGCTCATGCTACAGTGATTTTGGTCCTGCAGTCTGAAAATTAAGAATTTACAGTAATCATATGGAAAAACAACTGAGTACAAATATATTTCATTTAAAAAATATGTAAAAGCCCACCACTATGCAGCCACATATATGCTTACAGAGGTTGGGAAGGGGTTTATTTTATGGAGTCTATTAATCCAAAAAATCACAAACAACATTTTTTTCTCAACTCTTATAATGATAAATAAACTATGATAAATAGCTTATGAAATATATATCAAAATTGATGGCTTAAAAATAGCATAAAAAAGGGCCATTCAATAGCATCAAAAGCCTTGGAAGTGTCTAAAGATGCCAAGGCACATGTCTCTGGGTTGTATCCTGATAGTTGAGCCATTGGGACCTGTGGATATTAACTATGGTCGACTTTCCAAGGATAAACCCTGTTTGATCATCATGAGTAATACAGAATATGACAGTATTCAGTCTAGTAGATAATATTTTGTAATCAAGATTTAATAGAGAAATGGGTCTATAGGGTGTGTATTTCACAGTGTCACATCATACATACTTTTCGTCAATGTCCCATGTCTAAAAGCTTTCCCACAAACCCATTTTAAGACAGGATAAATAATATCTAACTACCCTTTACAGCCTTCCAAAGGCAGTCCACCAGGGCCTCATGCGTTACCGGTGGCAAGATCTGAGACCATCAGTTTAATATGTGATTTCTTTTAACCAACAGCTGCACTTGGGCTGTGGACAATTGAGGGAATGACTGAATGTCATCTTGGGTTTTAGTGAGCATACAGGCACCCGACAAAGATGGAGTCTCATGTAGAAATGACTAACCTAATAAATGTGCATATTTTTTTTCTGGTAAAACTGTAGACATGCAGTTCACAGACAACTGCAAACGGTCTACAGCTCCCTAATGCAGGAGGGCTGACCATTTGCCACCAGGCACCTGGCATAAGTAAAGTGCCTGTAAACAAGGGAACAAAAATTTTTTAAAAAACACACAAGGCTCAATTCACAAAGTTCACACACCAGAACAATTGTTCTCTTATTACCTTATTTTTAAGAAACTGATTTTTTTTCAGCCAGTGAAACCAATGACATTTGAAAATAAAAAATGATTATCCTTGCATTCAAGCTTTTGTAAATTGAGCCTATAGTATTCATAACGCTAATGCCGAGCCTTGTGTTATAGTCAGAAACAAGAAATTGAACATTAAGCGGCAAATAATCCTTTTCAATTCGGTTAAACAATAGAATCATAAATCTTAAAGCTGCATACTAAGTTTTGGATAGAATGGGGATAGGTTAGGACCTCTGTCGGGTCTGTTGTTGCTGTCTGCCCTACCAGATGTTCTAACCCTTCTCCACTGTATAAAAAAAATATTGTTTTGGCCAGTTTGGCATTGCTTCCATTCATAGACATAACTATTGACAGTCAGTAATGAATGAATCATGATTGAGCATCAAGCTTTTCTACTATATATAAGCCAGTAATTTTCATAGAACTAGTTAAAAAACTAGAATATAATGTACCTTTTTCTTGAAGAGCTTGTCTTCTTTCACTAGTTTTAACTGCAGCAGGAAAAAACAATGTTAGTTAAAAATTAAAAAACAACTACATGTTTACATCAATCTTTTTAACTTCTGTACATGATATGCTATAGGTTTATTAATAGCAGACCACGAATTAGGATTCTCCATATGGTATCCCAGAGGGGACATTACCTTCCCACACCTTCTGATCAGTAAGCAGCAGAGAGTCCCTCGTCTTGCCGTTGTTTAAAATTCAATATAATATTAAATTATGGCCTGTGTCAGAACTGCTCATCTCCCGTAAGGCCCCTTTCACATGGGCTTTCCAATCAGGTCTGCCTGTCGGTTTTTCAGGTGGATTTGATCGGAAGCCCGATGTTAGTGTACGGGTAGCTGGATTTAAACAGACGGATGTCCATTTACATCCAGTTCCGGCAAGGTCCACAAAAACAAACAGATCAGAGATTAGTTTCACTGGACCGGATTTGTGCCGCATCAGAGGTAACCTGATGTAATGGACGCCCCTCCATTTAGATTCAGCTGCCCATACACTAACATAGGTCCGGTAATGTAATTTTTTCCCTCAAAGATGGAGAAAAAAATTGCACGGACACGGATGTTAGAATGGTGAAATCCGTTCTAATCAGGAAGGGATCCGTGCACAGTTCCCCACCTGATCTGACCATGTGAAAGGGGCCCTGCAAGTCTATAAGGCTTATGTTAATATGGGCGACTGAGGGGTGGTAAAACCAGTGCTGCATACGGTGCAACCTGCCAAACACAACAATAGATGTGAATTGAACTGCACCACTACCACTTGCGGTGGTAGTTCAATGGAAAATCCCCCTGGGATCGAAAAAAAAAAACCCTCTGGGATTCAGAAGGCAGCAGTATCACTTTCTAAATGCCGGGCAGCTGCTGCTTTATCACCCTGTAAAAAAGCGATCCCCGTGGATAATTTTTTAGAGGGTGGTGGAGCCTGCTATCCATCTATATGAAGCCTAAAAATGCCAAAACAGCTTGAAGCAGGTGAGAAGAACAAGTCTTCAAAAATTGAAAGACTCCCTTCAAATTGAACCTGTCAAGAAAACCAAAGTAATGCTAATTTCACAAAGTGAAGACAACGTGTGACGCCTCAAAGTACACGTATTGATAAATGAGGCCTCAACTTCTGGAGACTTGGAGCTTCGCACTGCCCCCATGACTTCACAGTTCTAGGTACAGTACATGCCTCGATTGGCCATGCAGACTGGCTAAAGTCAATCAAAAAAAGATTTGCTGTTAAGGAGGATATCTAGAAATGTTATTTGTGCCTAAGCCAGGGCTGGCCAAATCCCAGAAGCCAGGTAGACAATGCTCTTTAAGGGGTCATTCACATAGGTGTGCATGCCTGTGCAGACACCTGATCCCGGGAGGGACAGGTGCTGTGTGTAATTGCATGCAGCAGCCTTTACCTCCCTATGGCATCCAGACTCGCACAGATGTGCTGCTGGCTCCTGGACTGCCTGGCTCCAAATTTCCAATTTAATTTGTCCACCCACGGTCCAACCATTGCCCTAAACAAATGAACCTTTTTTCTGAATAAAAAACAAAAACAAAAAATAGTTCCCTTCCTGGTATGTGAGGTTGCCTATACACTCCTGTGCCCACAGCCTCGTAGCTGTATTGTATATCTGCAGTATAGAGATCTAAGGTATTGCTGCCTCTGACTGATGGTCTCAGGGGATTTTATTCTTTTCACTGAATACAAGGCTTTCTGTGAATGGACAAGTGGAGAGAAGTGGTGGGTAAACCACAGGATCTCCTCTCATTCAATCACAGAATGTTTTGTATTTACTGAAAAGAATACAAGTCTTTTTGTAAATTAATGAGGAGAGAGGGAAGGGGAGAGCAAGCGATTCTCTCCTTCAATGTACACTAGCCAGAACTGTCAGTCTGAGTAGTGGAAGCTCACAGCTGATAGTAGTATTGTGCAGGAATAAAACTAACATGTTTAGCATCCCGAGCCACCAACTGGACATGGCTGGCAAAGCATTAAACATTACCTCTCTGGACCAATTACATTTAAAAAGTACTTTTTACATGACATTCCACTATAACACTGCTTTGCCATAAAAGTTTTTTACTCTGTATCTTATTTTCAAGGTGCAGAGGGGCCATTGTAACAATGAGGTCAAGTGCTTTGGGGCTTAGTTATAAGATTAAAAAAAAAACAGCCTCCAGCCCAGAGTGACTCCGGCTACAAATACATGAAAATCCTTTCACTCTTAAAGGGGCAAACCAAAGAACAAATCCATGAACAATGTGGTTCATAGCAATACACTTTACACTACTTGGGTCATGTATAAACCAACATTTCTCACTACTTTAGACAAGTACTCACTACTACTACTACTACTTTAGACAAGTACAAGTTCTCACTACTTTTCTCCCCATTTATGTAGCGGAAGTGTATCTTTTTGCACTAACCATGACTCAGTAAAGTAGACAGGGTTTGGTAGGAAGGGAGTGTGGCTTCACGTAAAGGCAAAGCCCTTTTTTTGAGTAAAAATAATAAATGTGCACTTCTTCAGAAAAATAAAAAAAATGCAAATGTATTTATTTATGTTGCATTGGTGCCAGTAAAACCATTGCAACCTCCTGCAGACTCTTGCTCCCACCCATGTCTGTACCGAGGTACGGAGATTCACTAACACGGAAGGGAGGAAGACTGAATGGACTAGAAGTGCGGTGATGTCACTGAGAACTACAAGTCCTTCTTGCCGTGGTGGCTGATGGCACTTTTTGTTTTTCCATTCTGCCAACGCATGTGTGTATTGATGACGCAGCTGTATGGGCGAAGCCAAATAAAATGACAATGTTTGATCTTATTTAAGAGTCCAGCTCTACTACAAAAGCACCTAACATTTTTTTTAAAAAGCAGCCACTACTTCTAAGGACTGGCAACCCTACCCCTCTCCAAACTAGTCACATCTGACACTAAACATCAACACTACCATTAACGTCAGGGACTGGAGCATAACATCTGTACTGTTACATTTACATAAATGGAGTGCAGCAGCATATAGTATCATATGTCTGTAAGAGCCTGGCGTATGAAAGCCTGAGTCTGCCACTCTTATACAGGAGACTGAAAACACCTGAAGGGGTACAGCGAAATGCATGACAGCAGACATCACAGAATGACACAGCTTTTTAATGTCAGCGACCATTTAAAACCAATAACAACCAACCCTCATTAGTCAGCTTGTAATTTCCAACTCACCCTCTTCCTAACTGCTGGGTCTGAATTTTTTTCTAGAGGTCGTTTTCTCTTAAAGGGACCATCCTCTGGTTTTCGCTTTGCAATTCCCTCTAGGACCTTCTTTTTGGGCTGTTCCTCCACGTTCTGCCTGGGAGTTTCCTCTCTTTCTTTCTTCTTTACAAGTTCTGTTAGCTCTTTATTATCCCGATTCATCTTCTGCTCCTTAAGTAACGACCCAGGCAGATTGGAAGCATACTTAAATCCTGGACCTCTTTTTTGCTTGTAGACCAGAAAGGGTAAAAACAAGAAACCCTTTATATCTTATGCTTAAATGTAAAAGGTCACATGCTTTTTTTTTTTTTTTAAATAACCACCCCCCAAAAAAACACTCATAACAGTGAAATAACACATCTCACATTTCTTATATGAATTAAATAAACTGATGACACTGAGGAAATGATTGTTTAACACTGAACCACAGGCAAACATCTCAATATTTCCTGCCCCAAAATGTTTTAATTTTGTTCAGCCAGTCTTGTGACCCAGAAAATCCTGCCAGCTATGACAGCATAGTCACATCCTAGACCTCCCTGCAGAATACAATGCCATTACACTTGCAGATGGACAGTTAAGGAACAGAAGCTGTCGTCCAAGCTACCTCCAAGCTACAAAACCACTCCCCCATGGGAAAGCATTGAGTAGATGGAGAGGTGCCCGTACTCCTCTGTATTTACAGAGAGCACCCTAGTGCGACAACTCTGCTCCTCCATAGATAAAGTGCAGTGAGTGAGTGTTGTCACCCTAGGACAGGAAGTGTGTACTGACAGGATCAACATGTGAAAATAAAGAAAAATAAATAAATAAAATAAAGCAGCCATAACTTCTAAGGACTGATAACCCTACCCCTCTCCAAACTAGTCAAATCTGACTCTGAACATCAACACTACCATTAACACAGAGAAAACAACTATACAGTCAGGTTGGCAAACTCACTTTCTGTGCTTCAGTAAAGCAAAACAGCCTGCTCCCCTTTTTGCCTCCCAGTCTTTAATTGGGCAATGAAGGAGCAGCAGCAGGCCATCGAGGTAATCTCCCTCCTTTCTCCTTCCGTTTGCACATTCCTCAACAGAACATGTGTATGCAGAAGAGCCTGATTGGCTCCTAGCACTGACCCTCCCTCTTCAATTCTAAAGCTGCCCATACACCTTACGACCATCGCAAGACTTTTGTCTTGCGATGGTCGTATGCTTCACAGCAGGAGGCTGATATCTTGACAATATCAGAAACCTTCAACATTTTCATTTGTAATTATATTTCATTATTTTCACTATTTTGCATTACATTTATTGGTGATTTCAAACATTTGTCTGGAGCTCAGCTGTTACTCCAATTAGCACTTTGATGCTAAATGAGCAGAATAGAAATATAAATGCCCAAAATCATTTGCTCTATGCAAAAATAAAGTTATTTTGAAGGTTTCAGTGTCAGATGGCTGGATCTTATGTTTGGAATAGCCCCCGCTAGTACCACAGGGTGGAGACCAGCAGCAAAATACCCAGCAGGGCTGTATGTTGGGGTGCACAAGATTTCACTACTGAGGACTACTAATAGAATTCACATAGGTCTCATGTAGGTTTACTGCTGCCATGAGTAGATATCTGCTTGAACCTGAATATAACAGCAGTACCAGAGTTTTCTGCCCTACAACACATTTTATTTATTACTGGTATTTATATAGTGCCGACAACTTACTCGGCACTTATACTACACATTCACATTAGCCCCATGCCCTCAAGGAGCTTACAATCTAATTTCCCACACATACGAGGGACAATTTAGACGGAAGCCAATTAAATTTCCAGCATGTCTTTGGAGCGTGGGAGGAAACTGGAGTACCCAGAGTAAACCCACACAAGCACAGGGAGATGATGCAATATCTTTGCAGATAGTGTCCTGCCTGAGATACGAACCAGGGACCCCCAGTGCAGCAAGGCAGAAGTGCTAACCACTACGGCATTGTGCTGCCCCATAAGAGATTTACAGACATAAGCCCCTTTCCAAATATCCCGGGAGCCAGTCTTTCTCATGACATGGCCACATTTGCAGTAACCATATACTCACTTTCCCAGTTTTCCCAGCATGGTTGCATTTTGGACATTCCCAGCAGTTTGGAAGTTCATCATTCACCACACCATCAGATTCCTTTACCTGTAGAGAGATGCCATGGAAATGTTTTCTTAAGATGGTTTTGTGATTTGCATACAAGAGAGCTCAGGCAGAAGACAACCAGTAGTAATATTTGAAGTGTATATAAATCTCAACAATGAACAGTTATTTGCTTCCTTTTGGTCTGTTAAGTATACTTAAAAAATGCTTTAATATAATTACTTGGAAAGTGCAAAAAAACTAAACATGCTGACTGTGGCAGAAATTCAGAGCTGTCCTGTGACCTGTCCACACTTTGTGTCATCTCAAGGGGCCTAATTAGCCCTCTCGTCTCATTTTGGGACTACAAATCGATTAGTACTCATGCCGTGGAGATGAGACCCTATAGTTTAGCAAAAAAAGCCTATTGCAGAAATGTACAGCAGGTTTTTTTCGTTTGGTTTTTCTTTTCCCTGACATACTCTTTAAAATGCTTAAGCTTTGACACAATAAAGACACTGAACAATAGAAAATAAAATACTGTCAAAAATAAAGCAAAGTGACCTTGAAAGAAGAAAAAAAAATAATAGCTGCCATGTAAATAGGCTAAGACTTGGATGCAGGTTATCTGATCAATGACAATGTAAAACAATAAAGAATGGCCCATAAATTTTCTCCTGTGTTGTAGTAAGTTATTGGGATGGCTAGTATGCCAAACACTACCTATTAACAATCCAACTATGCTAAATCTGATCACCTTTAATGGCTACACGTAATTGTATGTTATCACACACCTACACTAGAGGTGCCATAGACCTGATAGGGCGGTCACGTGCAGGTATGGTCTGACTGCCCTCAGCTATTTTACCTGGGGTAAAACAGCATTTAGAACAGGGTTTTACCAACCTGTCTAATCTGTGTTCCCCTGACAGCAGCCGGCAAGTGCAAGTCTGTCTAACTAACCTGTATAAAATTGTTGCCCAATTCAACTATGTTATCTAAAAGGTACTGTGCTGACAGGCTTTGGGCTTTTGTCAATGTAGCTTGCTTTAAGATGCATTTGAGATCAGTTCGAGATCTTCAGAAATCATCCAGAATTAATTGCCGCTGCTTTTAACGTGCTTCTGACCTACATTTGACCTCCTAACTTGCATCAACCTACTTCAACCTGCATTTGCATTCCCATTGACTTGCATAGGAAAAAAAGCAGTTCTCACGCACACAAAAGCCCACGACCCAGGTCCTTAAAGGAGAACTATGAGATGAGTGATTTCCACTCACCTCATAGTTTTAGCCGACCTGTGACAATGAGACTGTCACAGGTCGGCTCAGTAGATCGGGAGGTGAGCGAACACACACCGGGTTCGCTCACCTCTCGATCCTGTCACGGCTCTCTGCCGTGACAGGGGGAGGGGCTGGATTCCCCTCTCCCCGCTCCGATCTGCCAGCGCTGACTGGCGGAACGGACGGGGGAGGGTAGAGCTGGCTCTGCCTCTAGATAGGCAGAGCCAGCTGTCACTCACGCAGCTGGGCGGATCCCGAAGTCGGGATCCGCTCCGGCTGCGGCGTCTCAGTATACCGAGCTTAGGGTAACGGGAGGACGCTAGTTTGTGTCCTTCCGTTACCCTAAGGAGAACTATGGGGAAAAACACTGACCCCATAGCTCTCCTTTAACATGAGCACAGAAATGTATGACAGTAGCAAGTATACATGACTACATTTCAAATTGTATCTATAGAAGCAGGATGGAGAGAAAACACCTATCCTGCCCCTTGCAGTTTTTGTCACTGTAGTCTTACATTAAGCAAAGAAAAAAAAAAACCCCATTATCTTGACAAAACAGCTGAAAACAAACCTCAAGCTCAGCACTATCATCTTCTGCATCACGAATGTCCTTTCATATGGCAGAAGTCATGATTACTGCATTATTTAGCTCTTTGTATCAGATAACTTGAAGCAGCAGAGCAGATGTTGGCACATGCATAAAAAGCTAATTATAGCTACAGAAAGCTATTTAACAAAATCTGCAAAGACTATTAAATGATGGAACTTAGCCAAATAAACAGCAATTGTGCTGCCAGAAAGAAAGGTTGATCAACCAGGAATTTTGTATTACCACATTAGAGAATATTATAAATGATGGTCTTGGTACAATAGCAGTGACATTAGTTATGAGGGTGCAGTTTCCTCCAACAGTTTTATTGTTAAGTGACAGGATGATGTGTGCTGAGAGATTTACTTTTAAGTCCTGATCTGCCTGTAGCCCATCCACTACTGATAATGAGACAAATACAAGTACGAGATGACTGCCAATAAATTCACTACTAGCATCAGTAAAAACATTCCTATAATAGATATTAGGACCAGGGAAATGTTTCTGGGCTGCATCACTAACTAGCTTATTACATCTTTAAAAGACAGAAACGGCATAAACTTTCTACTGCCCTAGCCTTCTACAGATTTTTAATGACCTGCTGCATACAGTATTCTTAGGCCTCAGGCACACAAGGCTTTAATGTCTGCCTGCGGATTCTTGCGGCAGAAATCACAGGTGGTTCGGGACAGTTGCTGCCGCTCAGCCTGTGCAAAGCAACGTTTGACAGGTTGACAGCGGCCGAAGCTGCCTGATGCTGTTCAGAGGAATTTGATGCCTTTAACCATAAGAAGAACGTCCTCTCATTGGTCTCCTCCCCTCTCTCTCTTACACAATTGCAGAATGTTAGGATAAACAGGTCGGAGGGATCCAGTGTCTGAATTGTCTAGGCAAAAAATACATCATCAGGCCATCCACTGCCTCCTGGGATGCGGATATCACACATACCAGGAGACAGTATTTCAGTGCAACATTTTACACATGCACAAACAGGCCACGGGTCTGCCAGGTCCCACAGATCTCGCACATGCGCAGGCACATGGTGGCTCTCTGCCAGTACCACAAAGTCTAGCAAAGACATGCAACATTTCTGCGCATGAGCAGGATATTGTCTCAAGATCGTGGCATGGGAGCAGAGAACTTCAGCTGCACGGAAGACAACACTGCACTCCATAGTATGTTTTTGGAGTTTTATTTTCTTATTTGCATACAGTTATTGGGGAGGTAAAATGTAATTTTATCTGGAAAGGATGAATCCTCTTTAATAATCCTAAATGTTACAGAAATATCTGTTTTGAACTGCAACTATTGTACTGTAGTTTGTATGTAACAGAAGGATTATTTTTGGAAGCAAATCAGTGGTAATCAGTTAATTACTCAGGCTGTATTTACGACAAACTTATAAAGCACAAAGTCATTTTGTTAATTTACAGACAAATCAAAAACTAATGTAAAATGTAGATGGAATCCAGATATAGTCAGTATATCCATGGAATGTAAAGCACTACAAACCAACTGAAACGTAGGATAATTAAGCTCTGGACATGTGTATAAAACCTAAGGACAACCTACTTACGTTACCTACCTTAAGGCATCCTGGATGGATTATTTCATTGCAGATGGAGCATTCCATCAACATGACATTAAACTTTGCTTCTTGGCCTTCCACACAGTCTTCCTTTCCTGCTTCTCCGCATACTAAACAAACAGCTGTATGAGGCAAAACTGGCTAAAAAAGCAAATAAAAGCAAAAATCAAAATTACATCTAAAAAAATTACATGACTATAATTTGAACTGTAAAGGGTCTGTGTACCCAATGCTACACGGATAAAAAGCTGAAAGCATTACTGCAACATGCATATGTGAACGGCCCCTCAAAGTTCACAATTGGGGCAGTGAAATCTCTGCTCCTCTGCCCTTTGTGTGGTGGCAGGGACCTGACAGCCTTCTCATGTAAATAAACAGCAGGTGCTGTTAGTTGCTAAACACTGACTGAAATCCAACTTCAGAGACTTTGTTGTGATCTGTGATGCTGAATCAGTCCACAGTACAACCAGCTAGAGAGCTCAGTGAAGGCTAGTTTTAAAGCGCTTTTACTGCTTGTTTCAATTATGTTAATACGTTAATTATCATAGTCTGGGCACAGATGCAATGTAATGTACATAACTGTATTAAATAACAGAGAAGGCTTAAAATGGGGTCAAATATAAATATTTCTTAATTAAGCCTGGATAGCTTTAATTATTTAAGACTGAATATTCTTTTAACGCTAGTAGGAAGCATTTATATTGCAGAAGAGACATACTATGATGCGTCTGCAATAAAACCTTCCTACCTTTCTGTTCAGCAACATCTTTAAAATGTACCATCATGCATGCGTAGCTCAGTGTACATTCTCAGTATGCCTGAAAATGCACATGCACGGGAGTCTCATCAACCCAAGCCAATTAAGGTGGCCAAAGATGGCAAACCCAGAAGAAGACCAAGCGAAGGTCACCAGGACTGGCAAAGGTCTTCACGGACATCACGTCATAAGAGGAGATGCAAGTATAATGGACTTTAGTTCGGCTTTAAATGTTACATATGTTGACAGTACATTGACAAATACCATTTTCTGTGGCCCATCAACAGACAGCACACTTAATACAACATCCCTCCTTTATATACGTCTCTTGATCTTGGAAAGGAACACAAAAAAAGTTCCTGTAGTTGTAGCCTGCCCTGTTTGTCTTCTGCAGGAAACCTCAGTAGCAACAAGGAGGTTCTAGAAACAAAACTGGGCAATGGGCCATATTTATCAATTGGTCAGTAGGAAAAACAGTATTTGTTGCCAACACTATGCAATAAAATTCCTTCATTCGCAGTGAATTATGGGGGATTGAGATGGTGAAGCTAACAGTTGCTAACATACAATTGTCAACAAGAAAATAGAGGAAATTTGTGAAGGCTGATGTTTGATGGATTGTTAAGGTAGTCAGACTGAAAGTTACTTTTACCATGTGCTGGTAATAAGAGAAGAAACATCCGTATTATGCCATTTGGCCTGGGCCAATTACATTTTAAAGTCTATTTTCACTTTTGAAGCCAAATTTGGATAACACCTATTTTATATTTATTAAATGTCCCAATTCACATAGCATACTCTATTTGAAAATTGCTGATTACCTTTTTACTTGCTGAAAAATCTTATTTAGTTCCCCCCTGGTATGTAATGTTAAGTAGGGGGCTGGGGAGTACATACATAATTAACCCTGTCTGTACTGTGCTGGTAGATCACCATTATCAGGTATAAACTAGATTTAAACACTTTCTGTCCTAAAAACTGACTGATTAGAGCCATACACCACCCAGATCAGCGTATTTCTTGAGTGGGTACGGTCAGGTGCTACTGATGAGACAGGAAAACTGTACAAATCATTTACAGGCTGACACTATCTGCAGATGATTGCATATAATCACTCATGGAACAGATGTATGCCCCTGGGCACGAACTGTCTGTGTCTGGGGGTGCACACCTGTCCCTAACTGCAGGTAATTGCCCCAGGAGCCATTACATGTGGACAGTGTCCACATGACACTGTGACAGTGTCAGCTTGTCATTGATTCGATGGGGCTTCTCAGATATATACTGACTGGCACTGTACGGCCCTAATAGCCAGTGTGAATGAGCCCTTTAAGATATCAAAGCTCAGGTGGTACATCTTATGTAAATGCACTTTAAAAAAAAACTGACCCACAAGTCTGTCCCTTATCTCCTTTACACTGTCATCTATTCTAAGTAATGGAAATTGCCCATAGAGCCCTATGTATACACCTTCATCAAAGAAACAACTAGAAAGGTAAGAAATATTTATAGTTATTTTTAGGTATGCTGTGTAAATGGGAAAACAAAAAACAAACAGAGTGGGGGGTTTCTTCGATTTTTTTCAATGGTATATGAGGTTTCCTAAATTTGACTGCAAAAGTGGAAAAACACTTTAATACTGAACACCTGTTAACTAAAATGTACATTTGGGTGTCATTTTCCCTACTAATGCTCATTTAGTCTAGGGGGATATGACATAGAAGTATACTTACGTTATTCCTCCTGCCATGAAATGTAGGTGCGCCCTTGAAGCCCTTACATACAATGCAGGACTGCTGGTCCACACGACTAGATAAGAAAAGCGGCTTTGTGAGACTGGTTGTTAATACTGGCGGGGAGGAAGAGTGCAGGAGCAAGAAATAAATTAAAAGGAGAACTATGGGGTCAGTGTTTTTCCCCATAGTTCTCCTTAGGGTAACGGGAGGACACAAACTAGCGTCCTCCCGTTACCCTAAGCTCAGTATACCGCGAGCTACAGCTCGCGGTATACTGAGACGCCGGAGCGGATCCCGACTTAGACGTCGGGATCCGCCCAGCTGCGTGAGTGACAGCTGGCTCTGCCTATCTAGAGGCAGAGCCAGCTGTACCCGTCCCCTCCCCCGTCCGTTCCGCCAGTCAGCGCTGGCAGATCGGAGCGGGGAGAGGGGAATCCAGCCCCTCCCCGTCACAGGATCGAGAGGTGAGCGAACCCGGTATGTGTTCGCTCACCTCCCGATCTACTGAGCCGACCTGTGACAGTCTCATTGTCACAGGTCGGCTAGAACTATGAGGTGAGTGGAAATCACTCATCTCATAGTTCTCCTTTAAATATTCCTTTCCAGTTTATCCCCTTAGACTAAACAAATCTCATCATACGAGAGGGGGCACCCAAATCTTTTAAAAAGCTGACCAGAGTTCAGCTTTAAGGAAACATGTTATAGGGGGAATATGAAAGCTTCCCTTGCTGACCTCCTTCTGAAGATACTATTTACCTAAACCGACGTTTACCTTTAAGGAAACAAAAATGGGGAATATGGGCAATATGAAGGCTTCCCTTGCTGACCTTCTTCTGAAGATACTATTTGCCTGACTGCAATAGTTTGAGGCATTAAACAGAAATAAGATTGCAAGTCGGAGTAGTCCGAGTGCCTAATATGCATACTTAATACAGGTCAACTACTCAGAAGTACTGAAAACATACAATTCCTTTCATGCACTGTTACTTTGAACAGGTTATTGAAGGCCCTCACTGGATATTCTAAGCGGTCACATGAAAAAATAGTCCATGCATGCCACTCTATTATACAGGACTAACCCATTTATTGCCAGATCATGGGCACTGAAATACACCATATATCAACGTTGCACTTTGCAGATTACCTGAAGCAGGGAAAGTTAGGCTCGAAATGTCCTGGGAATAATTGCTGGATCTATGATCTGGTAACAAATGGACTAGTTCTGTGGAACAGAATGATATTTGGGGGATATTTTCTCATGTGACTAACGGCCAAGGAGCTGGCATTTTTTAAGGAAGTAATGCAATAGTGCACTCCATAATTCATCAGTACAGGCTTCCTTTTAAAAGAAATCAAAGTCACTGCATATGAGAAAGTAAGAGAAAAGGAACGGGGGGTCAAATATAATCTGCACACACACACACACACACACACACACATATTTAGCATCCATAAACAGCACAGGAGATACCTACAGCTATGCACTGCCTCATTATACATGACTGTTTCATCCTCCCTGGTCCACCAAACTTCTTCATGTCTTTGCAAAAGTGACATTCTCCACACTCTGTACGTAAACATGCTTCGCACTTGCGACACCGCGTCCGTCTCCGGCGGGCACCAGCGCTGGTCCTGTTAGTAGATAATTTAACTGCGGGAGATGTGGCAAGTTTCCCTTTTGGTCTTCCCACTGCTCTGTTCTGTACAAGAAAAAGAAAATGATTTTCAGTTACTTCAATGAGATTTACGAGACGTCCAGCTCTACAGGTTCCTCTTTAGCAAAATAAAGCTTTAAGTCAAAAAGTGTTCACTCTTCAGCAACCCTGACAAAGCATACTTTTACTCTCACACAGAGACACATAAATGTAATGATTGGTAATAAAGGAGGAAAACCAAACTAAAGGTAACTAATATATCACTGGGTACAATTCACTTATAACCATGCAGGAATTTGACCTTGTACAGTAAGATGATCAGGTAGATAAGCGACAACCCACAGGACCTCTTGGATACATTGACAGAGATCAAAATAAATCTCCGTCCTAGAAAAAAAACTGTCATTTTTTAAGATTTATCCTATTTACTCTGGATACACAAACAGAATAAGCATCATTTGGGAAGACCAAAGTCATGAGTGAATTCAATGGATTCAGCACCGTAGCTCCCCCTTCTGGCCTCAAGATCAGGCCACCCTCTTCCCTTGAGAACAGGCCCTCTTGTAAGTCCATTATACATAAAACCTTGTTAAAAGGAGAACTGAACTTCAAGTAGAGTTATCCTTTAAATAACTGCCCTCCCCCACCAAATCCTACAATCACTTGCAGATCTTCACTCTTGGGGCTCCTGGGAACTGTGTCCACCTAATTAAAGTCTCCTGGCCGGGCTACACATGCACAGTAGAATCCCTATCATGTCTCTGCAAAGGTTGTAACCATTAGTTCCAATGGTCGATGGCCTTTCCGATGTACAGTTATCCCTCAATTGCCGTAATTGAAGTGCCACTGAAACCAAAACATTTTTTCTAGTTCTGGATAGAGTGTGGAGGGATTAGAACACCTGTCAGGGTTTTATTGCTGTCGGTGTCACAGTCAGGGACATTCACCCTCTCTACATGTCCTGTGACCAGTCTCACTGAAAATGAAAGAAAATCTCAAATTTTGGTTCATCATTAGAACAGGGATAGATGGGAAATCTACCAGTGGGAACACTAGTTCTGGTGACCCTGCTGACCACCAGAGATTTTCCTCACTTTTGATGTTTTTCCTCTCAATTCCTACTGTGCCTATCGGACAGGAAGTGAAAGGAAATCTTCCCAAAAGCAACACAGAAGGCAAAAACGATTGCCGACAGTTTTACTCTATGCAAAACTACAAGCAGAAAACAACAAACCTGGGACATTCCAATATGTACTGTACATTAGTATAAATGTATGTCCGTCATCCCAGTAAATTGTTGTGGTGATGTTTAAAGCCAATGGCAATAGAAAAGTATGATGAACCCTACAACAGGACAAATGTGGGATTTTATTTTAAACACCCCAAAAGTGTTGATTCAGGCAGCAATGGAGAGCAATGTTTTCAGAACAAGCGATTATGAATTGTAGGTCGTGTAAGGTTCTATAAATGAAGTACAACTTTGCTTTTGAAGCAGAACTCTGGTTAACAATTGTATTAACCCTTGTAGTGGGGCACCCCCGCACTGTAAGGGTTAAGGGGGGCTCATTTTTGTCCAAGTGAAAAAATTACAAAGTTATACTCACCCGATCCTCAGACACAGATCCTTCCTCTTCCACTGCAGCAGTCTAAGGACCCTGAGTCATCGCGTTCTATACACAGTGTATAGGACGTGAAGACGCCAAGGGACACATCATCACTGGAGCGGTGGAGGAGACAGGCAGGAGGTGCTCTTTAATAGCCACCCAGCTTTGAGGTTCAGGAGAGTAGAACTGTTATTTTTGCACCCAGACCAAAATGAGTACTTAACCCTTGCAGTGTGGGAGTAGCCCCAGCCCCACTGCAAGGGCTAAGAAAAGTTTTACTCAGAGTTCCTCTTTTTCCTAATGCTATATCCAGTCATGAAGACCCTCACAGAACACAGCTGTAAATGTGCTGATCTTACACATGAAAATCTGACTGTGTGTGGCCAGCTGGGTTGCATATACTTCCTTAGTTTGACAAAAGGGGGAAGTATCCAGTTTAAAATTACTCTGCAGTTCTTATATATGACCCTTCTGTAAATAAGTAAAAAGCAATGATCTGATGTAAACACTTCTGGATGACATCACTTGTTTCTAGTTACTTCACAATAATTCACTTGATTACATTTTAGAGGTGCAATAACACACGTTATGTCGCAAGCGCATTGCTTTAATGCATCAAATGTCCGACAACATCAGACATGCCACCAAATATTTTAAGGCAGCGCTCTGCAACACATGTGCATTGCCTTAGTGCATTGGAGTACCTTTCATAGATCTATGTGGGCCCGCCTTGTTTCCTACATGCCTTCTGATTTAAAAAAATTGGCAGTGAAATGATGTGAAGGAATTTAAACCTGTAGACGTAGACATGAGACATAAAACTAAGCAGTAGAAACAAATGGAAATCAAGCAGGTTCAGCAGAAGGTTGAATTGAGTTATTGGCACAAATTGAATGTTAAGAGGCCGTTCTTAGACTGTGGAACAGTTCAGCTATCAAATGCAGTGACAGCACACACACCATATGGGTGAACAAGATGAATCTTCAATTATTACAATCCAGCTCAAGACAATGGAGCCGATTTACTAAATCGTGAGCAAAAAAAAATAGCAAAAGTCAACCAATCGGGTCTTGCAAATCTGCTAACAGAGACAGAACAGCAATTGATTCCTGCAACGAACTGCGCTTTTCCACACTGCAATTGGACTGAATGGGGGGCGATTTAATATATTTTCAGTGATGCATTCTTGGTGGTATTGCTGTAATATGGAGTCTACCTCCAAATTTATGTAACCCATGTGACACTTTTGGAGATAGTTCCGGCCCATGTGACAAAGTCATTAGCTCTTATTTGCAATACTTTTATACTATGTTCCTAAGGCTGCGACTAATTCATTAAGGAATACCACGAGCTCAGATTTAAATTTGAAAACAAAGTGCACATTTGCGGTGGGAAAATGAAAGACCCCAATGAGGTGCTTACTATGTATGTATGCTCCTGCATTAGGTTAAAGGTCTAATGGTCACTCATCTCAACACTGTATGTGCCAAACATCCGGCGCTGAAACTTAGCCCCAGCTCTAGTACAGCGCATACAGTGAAGGACATTGGGTCGCTTGCAGCCCCCCTTGTCCGTTCAGACATCGATTTGTACTCTTTTCACAGAAAATGTGTTCTGTGATTGGACAAGAGAAGATTGTGACAGTCACCTCTCCCATTCACAGAACGCGTCACGGAGGTGAGAATCTTCTAAAGCAGCCGTATTCAAACCATGGAGCTATTGTGGAACTACAAGTCCCATGAGGCATTGCAAGACTCGTACAGCGACAGGCATGACTCCCAGAGGCAGATGCATGATGGGATTTTTAGTTTCATTACAGCTTGAGGACCAAAGTTCGCCCACCCCTGTTCTAAAGGGTGTCTTTTTGAATTTGAGGTAATGCGTTTTACTTTGCTTCTAAAGAACTAAAAATATATGTAAAAATCATTAAAATCATATAAACTATAACATTTTAAATGTCATTTCAAATATCATCTACAGCATTTTCAATAAAGTAATAACTGACCCTGTCATCCTTCAACAGGAATATCTTATTATATGGTAACAACGTTCTTCATCCTTCTACAGGAATATCTTATTATATGGTAACAACGTTCTTCATCCTTCTACAGGAATATCTTATTATACGGTAACAACGTTCTTCATCCTTCTACAGGAATATCTTATTATATGGTAACAACGTTCTTCATCCTTCCACAGGAATATCTTATTATACAGTAACAACGTTCTTCATCCTTCTACAGGAATATCTTGTGATATGGTAACAACGTTCTACAGGAATATCTTATTATCTGGTAACAGTGTTCTTCATCCTTCTACAGGAATATCTTGGTATATGGTAACAACGTTCTGTCCCTGTATCCTAATTACCCTCTTGCATTGTCACATGTGTCTAGGTACTAAAATAACAAAGTTATACTCACCCGAAGCTCCGAGCTGGCTAGCTAGAGCGATCCCTCCAGCCTGTCACCTCCTCCCCTGCAGCATTGGAATATTCATCAGCATCCTCACATCTATACACTGTGTATGGAACTTGATGATTTACGGGACTTTAGACTGCTGCATTGGAGGGGCAGTGAGGCTGGAAGGACAGTTCTAAGACAGCGGCAGCACCAGGGAGGGTGTCACCCTGTGCAGCCGTGGTGCATGTGTTATGATGTCCGTGGTGTGACGTCATTACGCATGAGTGGTGAGGTACTTCACTGCTGGCAGCCATCTTGGTGGTGGACACCGGCAAAGAGAGGAGGGGATATTGACCTGGTAGTATCAGGTATGCCGCTGGGTCGCCTGCCCCCCTTGGCATGCTGTTGGGCTCTTGGTCCATGACCGAGCCCAACTTTTAAGAGGGGATGACATCAAAATGACTGTCAGTCATTTTGGTGTCGCCCGGTGCGAGTCACTCCCCCCTTGTGACACCACTAATCTAAGAACAAGCCAGCTCCTCAGTCCAGGTTATAATAACTTTTTTTTTTAATACTTAGACAAAAAATGAGCACCTGACCCCTTGCAGTTCAGGGGTAGCCACACTGCAAGGAGTAAAGAACCCCCCCTGGAGTTCTCCTTTAAATCACTCTGGGTTTACGTCTATTTTAAAGCTTTCCTTTTCTACCCTCTACTAATGAGACCCTTGTGATGCATAAGTCACCATGGCAATGGGGTAACATCCAGTTGCCATAGGCAACAGCCCCAGTTTCCAGGGATCCTCCCCCAGTGTGAATCTCTACATCCTGCCCATTACACATGTGTGCTGTACAATGCCAGGAACCAGAAGTTCATGTGGGGCCCTAAAGTTCCCAGTAGAAGAAGTCATCAGCCTGCCTAGTGTCAGGGGGATCAAGGGAGACATGTTCTGATCTCATCCAGCATTATGTAAAGGTTCATGACTCCATGTGTAAGGCTGATACAATGTGACAGTAAAGTGTTACCTGGAGCTCATGTAAT